ACAGTGGGTAGAATCTGAGGGATACCTCGTGATCTCCAGTAGCTTCAGAAAGCCATGTTTCTGTCAAGGCGATGATATCTGACGTGTGCTCGTCGATAAGAGTCCTGATTTCATCCATCTTGTTAAACAGGCTTTGCACGTTTGAATACGGCACCTTTAGTGTCCGTCTTCTCGGGGGGAACTGGCCCTGATTACAAAGGAGGTTAGCCACAGGAACGATCGCTTGATCTGCATTATCTTGCCTTCCTTTATTTTCAACCCCATCTCTCCCTCTTCTGTCCTTCTTTTCAGTTTTGTCCAGAGCTTTCTCATCTTGAGTGTTTCTGTCGGTTCGTAATCCGGATGAAAAAACACCTTATGCGAATGACGAAGAGCCATCCTCCCTTCTAGGAGATGTGAAGCCTGGGCTTCATTTGGAAGAATGATTTTAGGAGGCCATATTGGTCCACGCGACGCATCTGCGTTTCCTAGAAGGAAAGCTTTGTGCACGGTAACGCATTCTCCGTCTCAAGTGATCCACACTTGGGGTTGGGTACGACTGGCTGATGACGGTTAATAAGCCAGAAATGGCCATTCCGGTCTCCCTTGTCTTTGTCGGTATCACCTTATCAACATTTGAATATGTCTGAAAGAGGTTGAGATCGTTTGCGGTCGAGGAATTGGGCTCAGGAGCTCCTTTTATGTCGATATTTCGTTTTCGGTAGAGATACCTGTTTGTTAGAGAGCCCCTGTGTTTATTTTTACACGCGCCCAGAGGGTACTGAGTCAATTGGTGAAATGAGGGCAATGTAGACAGTGCGCGAGTGGCCAGATTTATGACAGAATTTATAGATTGTGTCACGTAAAGTTGACAAAACTGTTCACGTCCGCCGGCGGTTCGACCTTTCGCATACAAAACTGTTGAGAATCACACACTTAACTTCGAAATCGAAAGATAGAAAAATTATGAGCTACGAACGAAACAGTGAAAATCTCCCGAGGGAGCCTTCACCTTAAAAATGACCTTCACGGTAAAAAAAAACATTACATCGCAAAGGGATATGGATGAGAAGGAGAGATTCTACATGAGGAAAGGGTGAAAGCCGGGGTGGTAGGCGGTGGTGGGCCCAGGGAAGGAGTGACAATAAACGGTGAGAGCTCGACATCTCAGGGGCCGAAAGGGAATCTGGATGAAGGCTGATGATGAACGAAACGGGGCGGCCTAGAGCGTGGGCGTCACCGTGGCTTCGACAACTTCTCTGAGAGGTTGGTTGGGGAGGTTATCGCGTCTTATGAAGGACACGATGCATAGACTGACAGACCAAAAAATCGGCATTTTGACTAGAAAACATGGAAATCCACACTATACGCAGAGAGGAAAATGTGAGCGAATAAGTTGGTTTTGAGTTAACATCTCAGGTTCCCGATGAACCTTTCTTAAAGCCGTAGGAAATTTTCCTCGGAAAAATTAAGAAAATAGAAGTGCAGTCAAGCCAGTACTTAGATAAAGGCGCAGTTTTCTCTTAAAAGTATGGCAATGATTTCACAATCTTATATCGACTGGCAGGCTATCCCAAAGTAAGATGCACCTGGAAGCGAGGAAGAGGGAACGCCTATAGGTGGAGAAGATGGGAGGATGCGCAATCAAGGAAGAATTACAGTGACCGTATTGTCGATTAGCAGGAGAAAGGGCCGATTTCGACTACTATGAGCGCAAAAAAGGACAGAAGTCGGCTTCTAGTCTCCGAGTCCATGGGAATTTTACGTTGATTGTTTGACATCTATTTGAGTAGGACATATTTGGCTGTGTCGTGCTTAAGTCTTCTAATAAAATGCCTTTGAACATTTTCGACTTTAGAACGACTAGCCTCATTTATCGAACCGAAGAATGGTTAGCAATATTCAAGGATAGGAAGGACGAATATTCAATAAATTTCTAATAAATTTTTGGGAAGGTTGAAATGAAGAGAAATAAAGCCACGGGTTTTGACATCTTTGACCGTAATATTGTCGGCGTGCAGCGAGAGGTCAGGATTATTAATGTGGTTTAGTCCTAAGTCTTTGGTGGCGGAATATTCATTGATAGGGGTTCCCTGAAAAATCATCGTTTGGAGAAGACATTCAGGTCCAAAACATATAAAGCGACATTTAAAATAAGAGAATTCCGTTAGCCACGCTGCATTTCACGCGGAGAGAGCAATCAAATCAGCATGGATTCGCTTCAGGCAATATTCGGCAGTATAGTCAGAGAAAGAGTATACGCTTTCGTGATCATCAGCATAAATTAAAGATTGGGAATGTTAGGCTTCCGATGGGATATCATAAATGCTAAGCAAAAACAAAAGAGGACCTAAAAAGGTATAATGGAGAATGAGGACCCCACTAGAACCTTTTGTTTGCGGTTAGATAGGTATGAATTAATAAAGTCGTTAACGCAAATGCGAAGTACCGGAGCCTTTCTTTTATCTAAGGGTTTTATACGTGGCACTTTATCAAGGTCCTTGTTAAAAGCAAAATAAATAACTACCACGGATAGGCAGTCCGTACGAATAGCAGTAAACAGATTTAGAAACGATACATGGCATGTTTCACAAAAGCGATCGCGTAAAAAGCCACCTTGGGAGGAACTAATAACTTGATGAGTTATATAATAGTCAGCAGTTTTCATAGCAATAATTTTTTCACAAAGTTAAACGAAACGTAGGGCTTTATGAATAGTCTATAATTCTGAACGTCAGAGCGACAGCCAGCTTTAAATCATGGAATAAGTATATAAGTTTACGATAATCAGAAAAGAAACCATTCTCGGGAACGACCAAGAACTGTTTGCTCTGACATACAGTTACTTACCGAACTCATGGAATGTGTCGAAATTTGCGAATGATTGCCAAGCACTCGCAAACCGACACCATTTCATGAGTCCTATTTCTATGTTAATTAAGTACAAGTGTGAAAGAACTAAAAACATGAAACAAATGTCAAAGGCAGTCTGACGTTGTTTAGAAATGCCGATTTATTTTGAAAAGCGTAATATCCCGAAAACACAATTTCTGCACAAGAAAAGGACATTTTATTGAAGGAAGTGGATGAGCGAACAAAAGCTCAACGTTAAAGGCGTCCAGAAATTCTCATATCAGTTTCCGTTATCAGATTTCATGCGATATGTCACGTACTGTAATTCTTATATACGGCAGAGGATGCTAGAGTGTGGGTGCCTCTCCCCCTTTTGTCCTTCGTGGGTGAGTACGGAGAGAGGGGCTGACGAAGCTGTTTGGGTATCCATTCCTTGCCAGTTGGTCCCGAAAATACCGTAGTTCTCGTGTTCATCCCTCCGGGCCACTGCAAAGCGTTTCTACCCTTGGGATGAGTCCGCTAACACAGCCGCGTTTATACAGCATCGGGTAGTTGCTGTGGCAGTTGAGAACTTTGGTTGTGTTAGTCACCTTTTCATACACCGTGGTGCCTATGTATACATTTGGTCTGTGTGTGACGAGGACGTCAATGAAAGGCAACTGTTCCGCATTATCTCCCCTTGTGAAGTGAATGCCGGGGAAGATGCTGTCAAGCGGGTCTTAAGAGTGCTAGTCCGCTCCCTTAAATTTTAATCAACGTGTCGTCCACGTATCGGCTCCTAAACGCAGTTTCATATTTATTGAAGGCAAATTTTTCGACTCTTGTAGGACCAGGTGGCAGATTTAGCGGGGATGGAAATCGCTAGCTTAAGAGCGCAGGACAAAGCGAGGGTCTCTATGCGGAGAAGACGAAGGTTCTGTCCCTGAGGAGGTGATGAAGTGTTTCAAGACGAGGCAGTTGGGCATTCGCACCCCAATGCTCTACAGCGGACCTCGATAGGTTTTACCTTCTCGAATAATAGAGCCAAAGGTTGCTTTGATGCTGTAAGTTACTGTTCGAATGTCACAGCAAGGAAAACACTGGAGGCGTCTATGAGGTAAACGGGTGTATCAGGACGTTGGAGTCAGCAAAGACGGCCTGCTCAATTACAGAAACGGCAGCGGCGCTCAATTTCAAATCAAAAGAACCCCTGGGACAAAATAAAAGGCTGATGGCGAAAGATCCGGTGTCAAGGTGCTTTGGAAGGTTCGAATTTCCCGCGTACATAAACGCTCGCTGCTAGAGCTTGGCATCACTGCGGCATTAACATCAACACTGTAGGTGGAAGGAGGCGGACGCCATTTGGGCCGGGCTGGTGTCGCATGAACTTTAGGGAGGATGATCCCATCGTCAATCGGACGAGGTTTGTGCCGACGCTACATTGCTGAAGGTGATTAAACATCATGAATAGGTGCTCACTGGGCCTGTCGGCACCTTGGCTCCCCATTATGCGGTCGGCTTTGGAAACATGTAAGGACTGGCCTGCATCAATCAGTACAGAAGTCTTGGTCAGGTATGCCCGATAGAAATGAAGTGGAAAAATCAACCCATTTAAGTGGGTGAACTGTCAGTCTCACTTGGAATGTTTAGAGCAACTTAAACAGATCGTGCTATCAATTGTCACCCAAAAGAAATAAACGACTGAACTCGTAACAGCATTCAAAATAATCCCAGTATGGTTTTTTTCATGAATTGAATGTATAAATTTTCAGGACATTCAACTGTGATCCCCGTAGTGTACGTAGCAAGTTGCGATTACATTATCGAGTGAAAATAAAACGAACACATGTGTAAATAAGACTGAAGAAGAAAATGTAATTTCCAAATTTTTGCAGACATTTCAATGAAGAATCTAGGGGGAAGTAATTTTGCGCCCACCCGACTGCATGACAGTTACACAAAAGTTATCAGAATTACCTAATTAAAATCAGTAACATAAGTGCCAGCGTAAATCACGAGGTCAGATAGCTATACTTACCTGGAGAATTACGGGCTTATAATGACAGTACGTCACAAATGACCGCTCTATTTCCACCATATTTGTCGCCACAACCTCTTGATACCTGCTTAACGTCCACATTTGTTAGTCAAATGGTAAATACTAAAGGTCAGAAAATGAAAAATACCTCCTACTCCTCCTCCTTCTCCTCCTCTGCATCATCATCATCATCATCATCATCATCATCATCATCATCATCATCATCATCATCATCATCATCATCATCATCATCATCATCATCATCATCATCATCATCGGCAAACGAATGTGGCAAGTGAAAGTCCAGAAATGTGCCTCCAACATCATCTCTGAAAGCGTGAAACCACTGTGAATGTATCCGCTTATCAGCGAATCCCACAGCGGTGCCTGCGTGGTACCTGGCAGTTATCCCGGTATTCGATTTAACTTAGCAAGTACGCCTGTAACCAATGTGGGAACTCTGACTATGGTCTCGTGGGGGTCCAATGTGTCTTTAGTAACAATGCCGGAGGGTGTACTCTGCTGAAAAACAAAGCAAAGACCGCGAGTGGCTATTGCGCACATAAATGACTGTTCACAAGCAATCTACGTGCTACGTGAAGAGTACAACGAAGCCGACCGGTGTTTTCATTTGCTTACTAAACTTCTGTGTCAATTAAGATCTGTGTTCGGCACCTCTGAGAACTATCGATAGAACTCGAAAATCACTTGCGGCGAATAGTGAGAGGAAAAAACTGAGCGTCACACGTTATTCGGACACAAACCTTCAAGATGGAAGTCAGTTAAGTAGTCTCACCTTAAGTCTGGTTCCCTCTAAGATGGGATTTAAAACCACCAAATTATTCCAGAAGCGTGAACTGTTTAAGTTCTGACCGCAATCTACATTGTTAAAGTCTTTCTTGTGAGCTATAAAAGGTTGTGTGTGTCCGTTGACATGTCAGTGCCCTAATCACGTCACATCAGAGGTGTGTGGTGTCCCTCGGATCACGGTTTGGGGACGCGCGACCCGTCGGTCGTACCAGCGTTGATCGGCTGCCAAATGAGCCCCTGGATCGGTGAGTTGGTGATTGTGGAACTCCCAAACGTACCTGAAATGACTTCCCATCAAGCCTCGCGCCTCCGCATAATTGCGTTCGCTTCGCTCTCATTTTCTCCTCGATAAGTCTAATGCGTTCTTTTCGCATAAAATAAAGATCCCCTCTGCTGGGTTCCTCGATTGTTCCCTTCGAAGGAAGTTTAATTTGAGTACGAGTTGTTACCCTAAATCATGCCCCTCTCATCCATTAGAAAATAATGATCCTTTAAGTTATTTTGTCAAAATATCTGGCTAGTATTTCCTCTGCTAATTTTCACTGAAGAAGCACATTTTCATAGTCTGACTGAATATCAATTTTCTATTTCTGCCACAAGCCACGTTAGAAAAAAATCATAGCACGCGCCTAGGTCAGCTGATAAACTATAGGGCGAGGCAAAATAGGTCTAACTTTTTTACCACGTAAACTGTTTGCCTAAATTTCACCGAATTGGGAAGAAAAATAAAAGGGTTTTGAAAGTGTAATTAATAAAGTCTAGCACTACAGTTTGAGATAGCTCAATGGGAGATGGGAACGCAGAAAATGCAGCGGTTTAGATGCGTCTGTAACGCAAATTCGGACTTCAGCTCTCTAGACTTCATATCGTCGAAACTGTTCAATCAGGTTTTCTATCCCACCGACAGAGACCGTGTTGGTATGCTGAACAGGTAATCGCGCGTCCTGTAGTTGCAAATATTCATTGCCACCTTGAGAACTGAAAGTCCAATGGAAGCACTAGAAGGCGTACGTTCAGGGAAACGTAAACGTTCTCTCACCATTCGCAGGTTTCGTCTGTTATCAGTCCATTCTTCGAAGGTAACACCCATGCTCACCTCTAGCCAGCAGTTATAGAGCTTACGTGTTTCAGCGTCCACGAGAACTTCTTTTGCCCGGTTGATTTGCTTAAACCGGTCTTCTACATACAGTCAGAATAAAAAGTGAATTGCCAGCCTCTTTGGAGACATTTTTGTCCGGATGGTAAGCGAGCGCTAACATTTTATACTCTGCAAGTATTTGATCGACCTTAATAAACGAAAGGACAAGATGTTAAAACGAGCAGAAAAGGGCATCAAACCGAAGAATTCGGACTGCAATTAAGGAGCTCGTAATAGTTCTCCGACCCAACCATCCTGGCAGACGTGCAGCATTCAAGTGAACGAGTGTCTGGCTGCGAGACCAGAGAAGCCAAGAAGCAGAATGCATAAGGTCGAATGAGAAACGAGCCCAAGCGCAAGAGACTATCTTAATCCCCCGCTAAAAGCCCTCCTGTCAGATCCGCTTTCGCGTCCAATGAGCAGCTCTCCTTACTCAAACGGGATTTGTGGAGGAGAGCGTGAGAGAGGGCGGGAGAGGGGGAGGGTGAGAGGATGGGAACGAGGGATGACGAACAGGTCTGCGTACATGAGGTGAACGAGTACGTCGGATGAGATGCAGGACAGGAAAATAATGTTGACTTTGAACAGAATGGAGCCATCCATCAGATGCAAACACTTCTTACTTTCTGCTCAACCGATTAATGTCAGATGAGGGAATAGACTGTGACTAACTACTGGGAGTAACTTGGGTTCTGCAGCTCGTCTGGCCTACTGAATAATCACAATGCTAACTTCCATAGAGAGCCGAGTTTGCGCACAGTTGGCAGACACACAGAGTTGTTATTAGTTGCTTGAAATTTCCTCAAAGCTGCGAAGCATTCGAACGAACAACTGAATCTCAGAAAACATAGAAGGTACTCTATGCGCATAAGGGGCATAAGCAGGGTTTGTGCCACTGAAATTACTAAAAGTTCTCTGAACAGGTATATTTTCTTTATGAGCCTGTCAAAAATTTAATTGCAGTAAGATGATAAGGGATCTGTAATCAACGATTCCTTGAGTACAGGGGAACAAAGAGGAAACTAAATCTACTTTCCTGTCAGCCTGCGGTACACGAGAAGAACTTAACCCGGCAACGCTTACTTAAATAGCTGTAGTAACAAGTCCTGCAGAGTACACCTGCCCTGGCTACATAACCTATCCTTACCGAGGGGGAATCAGGTAATCCGAGAACCTTTGTTGCTGATCGAAGTCGAACAGTCGATGCCCCAAGATCGCATCCGATGTCCTTATTCTGAGCTCTCACAGACACGCCCTCGTCCTGACTCCCGAGATTAGCTTATTTTATTCGGAGTGGAGGTTCCGCCACAATCTTATGTGCGGGACTCAAAATTTTCCTTAGTTCGGCATCTGGCAGCATAATCAGTATTTATGATAATTAGTAGAATTTTAAAACAGACTTAGGAGGCATAGGACCACCAGGACGAAGGTAACAAGCATTCATCCCCACACCGAACAGGGGTACTTATAACAAAAGAGAGATGGAACGTATTGCATCCACTCAGAGAAATTGCTGATACTCCGAAGGTGAGTTACGAATTCGTCTCAGCGAACTCCAAGAGAATGGTGAGGAGCGACACCAATACACCTCGAGAGATGTTTGATTTTGGGACTCAGTGCGGCAGTTCGATATCTGTCTGTTTCGGGCTTGACACATTGCGCGCTCCCTCTATCCATGTAAGATGGCGCCATCTGGTCACCGGTAAAGGATGCACTTGGCCGGCGGGCTTTGCATGAACACTCATAGTGATCCAAAGGTTCCCACTAATACACTGACTATCTCTGCCATTGGTTTCTCATCTTCTTTTCAGTAGCAACTGGACTGCCTTGTTGTGATTGAAAAAAAGGGAATCCTACACTGGACTTCTGCCATGCACGGCAAGACCCCTATACCTGTGCCACTTCTGACGCAAACACCTATAAACTATGCCCCACATATTGCAAGTCAGTTTACTAACAGCAAAATCAAAGAAGAAAGACGAATTCTTAGGCGTTTCGGGGCGATCTGGTTGTAAGTGGCTTTTGCTTAACTTCTGAAACATCCTGCTTCCATGGAAGAAAGGAGATGTTCTAATATTTCCGTTTTTTCGAGGCATGCTATTTCCTCGCGACGCATTTTTCCCAAATCTTTGACAGTGCAGTCTGCCGCTGAAGCAGGACTTGATTGCAACTTTGTTCTACTTGGCTGCGTTCTGCGTCCGGAGATTAGGTTCATCTAATTTTCCGGATTTTCATAACCCAACGGTCTTTTTGAAGCGAACACTGACAGTAACGGTACACTTTCGGTGACAATGTCGCCGTTATTTCGATCGATTGTTCAGCGTATAGGCAGAATGGTATTACTGACAAAGACAAGGGAAACAGTCTCCCTTGTCTTTGTCGGTAATACCATTCTGCCTATATATCATGCGCCGCTGTGCGGCTGCTGGTTGAGCTCGAGAGAGAGCCCTTAAGGCACAACGGAACGAGTGAATTCCGTATGAACGATCGGTGAGCGCCCCCTACCATTGTTCGGCGTATCTAAATTAGCATGACATCGACAAGCAGGCTGATTGCAGGATTACGGAGTGTGCCTACGGGCTGCCCTCAGCAAGTGCTATTATTAGACGTGAATATATGTATGCTAAATCAGAAACCCAAAGACGCTTCTAACTTGATCCAAAGAGACAATTTCTGTAGTCGGTACGGATTCGGAGTTAACAACCAAGGCTGTACGAATAGGGAGGAAATGGCTGTGTTCCCGTAATACCTCAACGAGACACGCATTTATAGACAAAATGATAGGTGAATCAGGTGGGAGATAACATTCTAAAATGAAAGTGTGTGTAAAAATGTCCACCTGCAGTCGAAGCACACATGTGGACTGCAGGAACCTTTCTGTGATAGCTGCGAATCAAATTCTGACCCTCATATTCAGTAGGTGGGCCAACACATGAAGTGTCAACCGAAATTACGAAATACGTTCACGTTTCGAAAAGAGTAATTAAGTAGGGTTGTAAAACTAATCCTTATGCAGGATAATTCTATCATAATTCAGTTAACTCAGGGTGTCGGCTTTCGAATGAGCTTATTTCCGACTGCAGGCAAGAACTATACTCTACAAAAAATGACTACTTAAGTTGCATGCAATTTTCTCTTTGATTTTTGATGCCCTTGAAAATTCAATTATATTTTATGGGAACCATGCGTAAAAATATTCATTTTTTTACTTATTCGGTAGAAAATCACGTGTTCTTCCAATTTTATCCTTGAAAAAGGGTATAATTCGGTTTCAAAAAAAGGTTCTAATTATGTGATTTATTAATACCGTGAAATGGCCGTTCATAAAACGTCATGTATCTGCATTTACGAATGTGACTTGTAAAGTTAGCAATATTGCTCAAATCCACTGCTTAATTTCATGAACCCTATATGGTCTCCTCTTAATACTTTAGAGAAATGCATGGTTTTCCGTACACGGAAAATGTACGGCTGGCCGTTTTGAAACCCTTAATGCAAGTGTAACAGCAGGTCAAGTTCAAAATTATTCGGGAATCAGAAAAGTTTTTTAAAACCGAGTTGTACTCTTCTTTCGTGTAGGAAATCGAAAAAGACGTCATTTTCAACCGAATAAGTGAAAGAAGAAATATTTTTACGCATGGTTTTCATAGAATATATTTGAATTTTCAAGGACATCAACAATCAATGAAAAAATTGAATACTACTTAAGTAGCCATTTTTGCAGAGTCATTTTTGCATGCAGTCGGAAATAAGTTCATTCGAAAGCCGAAACCCTGAGGTAACTGGATCATTATAGAATTATCCTGCATGACGATTAGTTTTACAACCCTACTTTTCGAAACGAGAACACATTTCGAAATTTCGTTTGACTCTTCATGAGTTAGCCCACCTACTGTACATAGATTCCTCGAGGATACCAGCCCAGATTTTGACTGCTTTTGCGAGTTTCTGACGCTTTAAATTTGTGATTCACCGCCCGGCTCAATCGCCCCGAAATCGGCGTTGAACGAGAAAAGCCAGCAGCGCGACTCGTATAACCAGCCCATCGGGTTGCTTTCAAGCACCCTGGCTGACCTCAGAAACGTCTCTTGAAAGGCCTTAATGAAGATGGGAGATTACCGAACAGAAAGAGACAAGGTGCACACAAACAGACATCAGGCTTGGCCTTTTCCGAATAACAGGCAACCAGTGGATGACAAAATAACTTATGGTTTGTGGGGTTGGCAACCGTAGTGTAAGTACGCATACCCCGCATGGCCGTTAATCGGTCAGTTCCCATGGTATTCTCCGAACGGTCCTGTGGATTGCCAAATATCCCCCCCCCCAGGCGGCCCATATACAGAGGGATTAAACCACCCGATCTAACTGCCGTGGAGTCTGCCGATAGTCGAGGTTGGAATGTACCAACAAATCTCGGCTCATTGCCGTCCACCTATCTAGGGGCATGGCAGGCCGATGACGGTGAATAATACAGTAGGAGGGCTAACTCATGAAATGTTAACCGAAATTCCGAAATGCGTTTTCGTTTCGAAAAGATTAATTAAGTATGGTTGTAAAAGTAGTCAGCCTGAAACATAATTCTATAATATTTTAGTTACATCAAGATGCCGACTTTCAAATGAACTCCTTACCGGCTGCATGCAAAAAATAAACTCTGTAAAAAATGTCTACTTATCTAGCATGAAATTATCTCATTGATTTTCGATGCCCCTAAAAGTCCAGTTATATTTCATGGAAAACATGCATAAAAGTATTCACTCTTTTGCTCATTCGGGAGATAATTACGTCTTCTTTTAATTTTATACTCGAAGCAGGGACATAATTCGTTTGTAAAATGTTTCTAATTGCCGGATTTTTAACTACTGTGAAATGGCCGTTCATAAATCGTCATGTCTCTGCATTTACCAATGTGGCTTGTAAAGTTAACAATATAGATCAAATCCACGGCTTAATTTTATGAACCCTATATGGTCCCCCTTTATTACCGTAGAGAAATATCTGGTCTTCCGTACGCGCAAAATATACGGCTTGCATCTTGGAAACCCTGAATCCAAGTGTGACGGTAGAGCGGGTTCAAAATTATTCGGGAATCGGAAAACTTTGTTAAAAGCGAATTCTGTCCCTCCTTCGAGTATAAAATTAGAAGACGTAATTGTCTTCCGACTGAGCAAAAGAATAAATACTTTTATGCATGTTTTCCATGAAATATAACTGGACTTTTAGGGGCATCGAAAATCAATGAGAAAATTTCATGCTACATAAGTAGACATTTTTTAAAGAGTTTATTTTTTGCATGCAGCCGGTAAGGAGTTCATTTGAAAGTCGGCATCTTGATGTAACTAAAATATTATAGAATTATGTTTCAGGCTGACTACTTTTACAACCATACTTAATTAATCTTTTCGAAACGAAAACGCAGTTCGGAATTCCGGTTGAAATTTCATGAGTTAGCCCACCGACTGTACTTTCTGATGGTTACCAACGAAGACTTGACATAGAAGGTTCAACAGTTGTTGGACAAAAAACCTGATTGATACTAAAACCGCACTATTCCTAAAACCGAGATGCACACATATCTCCAGACTATATGGTCTACCAAAAAAGCATAAAAAGGACATATCTTTACGGCCAATTCTCTCTATGTAAAATTCACCTACACACTGACAAGCAGACTGGTTTGTCAAGGGGCTAGCACCAATTCGACAATAATTTTTCGCCTACACGATAAAAGGCACTTCACTGCTTTGAAGAAACTAAGCACCAGAACATCGCCGACGTGTGCATGATTTCCTAAGACGTCGAATCCTTATTTACCAATGCACTTTGGATGAAACAATATATGTCATATGCGCTCATGGGTAATTTACTCGGGCCAACCTTCGCCGACGTTTTTATGGGTTACCTGGAAGAAAAGGCGTCAAAAAAATTAAACATGACAGCATTATACAGGAGATACGAGGATGATATATTCATAATTGTTGACAACAAGGAAGACGACGCCGACCTACTTTGCGTGATAATTAGCATCCGAAAATCTGATTTACAATGGTAGTAGAGCATGTTAACCTGTTACCATTCCTGGACGTCCTCATGTTTAAAGAGGATGATGGTTCAATAAGATGCCCCGTCTTCTACAGGATTACGTGGAAAGGCAAATACTTACATTTTAAAAACTTTGTGCCAATACAATGGAAGAGAAATCTAGTGCATGCTTTTTTTCAAAGAGCGAGAACTATTTGCCCCAGGGAGACCATAGATACAGAAACTGCCCGCAGCAAATAAGCCATACTTAATCTTGGTTATTCTGCATGCTTCATCCAGAAGTACAGCAACCATTTACGGCAAAAGTTGACGGAGCAGTCTGTTCCGAAGAAGCCCGTGATACAATGCTTACCTTTTAAGGGTGATAACGTCTCAAACCTAGTCAAGCGACGCTTGCGTCACAACATAGAAAGAACGTACAACGTAGCAGAACTTGTCTTTATCAGCTACACCGAAAGCCTTTCAATTAACCGGGCAAATGATGCCTTGCCGTTGCCCCCCACCCCAAATTGCGTGTAGGACTTCACATGCACTTGCGGATGCAAGTAGGCTGGGCGAACGCAAAGGCAATTGACAACCAGGGCCGCTGAGCATTTGCCTAATTGGCTTTTCAAGCAGGAAAACAAAACCCCTCGTTCGCCTAAAACGAAACACCTGTTAGATAGCGGTCATTTGTCGAACCTAGAACTGCTTTTCGAGTACTTGTCCGAGCGCACACAACTCGAACCTTGCGTTACTTGGAAGCAGCTCACATACGGAGGAAGAAACCAGACCCATGAAAGCAGCTAGACCACGAAGTAAATCTGCAATTGCCCTGCTAACTTTCACGCCTTGATTTACTCGTGACTGTGATCTGTTGTTAAGATCCCTTCCATCCTGCTTGTGAAAACGTCTTTCATCTGATTATTCATTGCGTTGAACCTTGACCTTGCTCTTATTCATTGGCACTATGTACAAATTCATACTGCTGTGCGCTTCCATTTGTTACCTATGTTATGCAGAGACGGGCTGCAGTTGAAAAGCCGTCACGAAATTTATTGGCACCGACAAATCCTGACGTGCATGCCTGTTTTAAATTCATACCGAGGAAAAAATGCTTCAGACTTCTAAATCTATAAAAGTTAAATTTGGAAAAATGCGTAACGCTCGAATCTTATTCGCTTCCAAAAATGACTTTATGCATAGAGCCATTAGAATCCTTCTTGTGATGTTGTACTTTTTAGAGAACAGTTTCAAACTCTTCAGTCATAGCTCTATTCGTTTCGTTGCAGAAAATGGACGTAAACGCAACTTAGGAGGACTCTTTCCGATTCGAGATACTCAAAGTGTTTCCCGGTGTGTGCATGCGGTTTGCATTCCTCCCTAACTCGGCTCCTGATTGGTGGAAGATGAGCATATAAAGGATGTGAGGACATGCCGTGCATGCCTGCTTTCGATTGACCTATTCCCTTGCTAACCGTCGCTCAAGTCTCAGGTAATCTGCCCTAAAAACTGAACAGGAGTCTGCTTTCGGTTAACACCACACAACTCAGGTCACTCATCCCGCAAATCTGACCTGCGCAAGCATGCGGCCTCCCCAGTAGTAGTACTTACCAGATGAGAGAGCTAAAGTGCGCAAGATAACTCTCCTTTCCCCGATGTATTCTCCAAACTGGGTTAGATGCGCGAACTAAAGTGATTTTATGAAGAATCACCCCACGCGACCAGCTGGCGGATAACCCCTGGATAAGCCAATGCAGTCGGGCATTCAGTTTGACTGACGTTGTACGGACAGAATGCACTAGTACGGCCCCTGTGCTACTGGCAAGTCCGTCTACAGCAGATGTGCTATCTCAAGAAATGTTAACCGAAATTATGAAATATGTTTTCGATTTGAAAATATTACGTAAGTGAGATTGGAATACTAATTATCATGTGACATAATTCCAGGATATGTAAATCACGGCGGGACTTCGGCACTCAAATGAGTTTCTTCTCGGCTGTCTGAAAAAACTACACTCCGCAAAAATTACTACTTAAGTAGCACGCGGTTTTCCCACTAATTTTCGATGTCGTCATAAATTCTAATACTTTATATTGAAAACATGCAAACAAATATGCGGTAAAGACATTCTAGTCTTAAAAATCTTATAATTAGAAACGTTTTTAGAGCTGAACGAGACTCTCCCCTCAAGTAAACTTTGGAGGAAACGGAACTCGCTACCGAATGCGTACAAAGAATACACTTGTCTACCTTTTCTAAGTAGCGTATTTTTATTCATAAATGCATAGAAGAACAACGGGAAAAATTCACACCACATAAGTAGTCACTCTGCACAGCGTGTGGTTTTACAGACGGCCGAAAAGACGCTCATTCAAAAGCCGACATTCCGCCGTGACTGAAGTGCCATGAAATTGTGCTGCGCGATAGTCAATGCTACAACCCTACTTAAGCGGCCCTCCCGAATAGCAAGCACTTTTCAGATAGCACATCTAGCGTAAAGAAGGCCAGGTAGGTGAGCGAAGCACTTAACTAAAAGATAGGCTATTAGCCTACAAAACGACGAGGAAACCCCCATGGCAGTTTAATCATCGCACTCGGGGGGGGGGAGGGGACAAGTGACCTGTCCGGTTGCGTTGATGAAGACTTTATCCGCACCCACCGTCTCTCCCAGGTGTCAGTGCCAAGAGGCGGGTGCGTATGCCACGCGCAACGGCTTAACACCCTACTCCCACCTCATGCATGCAGATTAGGAATACACGACCCTTCGAGCAAACGAATACGCCAGCCCGTAAAACCAGCTGTGGGAACAAAATTACAACGCAACTACCAACAACGCTGACCCGGTATGCCACCAAGTGACAACCTCTAAGGCCCTCTGTTGGCTTGATTGGGGCGAAAAGGGCCCACGCAGCAACGTCAGCACTCCTTTTTTCCGCTCAAGCCAGCGGCAGTAGCTGATCCGCGTCTCACAATTAACCACAGGGGTCGGGCGTTGCCTTGACGAGGCTCATTTCAGCTCTCGGCGAATACAGAGTATACAGGATAGACAGATTAAATAGCGTCACGCGGGAGTATGGATCCCAAGTGCTTCAGTTAAAGTGCCTTTTAAAGCTTTTAATTTTCGACTCCTTGCCACGCAAACTGTTCTATAAGACCCGATTCTGTATTTTTGCGAAGAAACTCTTGATACAAAAGGATGGAGTGTAGCTGGTTAACTGCAACCCAGTAAACGACCGGGCAGCCCCCATAGCCGAAAAAACAGTCCATACATCCTCCCCCTGTAGTGGGATGGAAACAACAACGGCAGGAGTTTACGGCGAGAAGAGAGGCGAGCACTCCCTTCGGGAAGTTAAAAGGAGTAAAAAGGTTATACAACAAGGGGGAGGGGGCGGAGCGAGGACCTTCCATGTGGAGAGATGGCGCGCGGCAAGACACAAAGGCGTCTGCGCGTCCGCGTGCACGTAAGGCACAGTGTTTCAGGCATAGAGACTTCGTAGGGACTGGAAAACCTCTTGAACGAAGGGGCACACATCAGACATCAGGGCCTCTAGGTTCTCCATGTAGGGCAGTAACTGATCTTGATGCTAAAACAGGGAAAGAAAACAACAGAAGACTTATGAACCTGAACAGGGGTTCCGTCGTCGTCGCCGTCGCCACCGCCACTATTACAAACATTGTTGTGACCGATTAATCGACCTCGCAGAGCGGACAAACTCTGCATAGGTTGACAGAAATGAAAAAAACATACACATACTGCGCTGCAAATCAATCAGACCGGTATTAAAAACTAAGTACCAAATGGGATCAGGGACGAGAAACAAAATTATGCACCCACAGTGAGAGATTGGTGAGTCTATGCGATGAGTTAGGAGGGTCATTGCATCAAAGTTTGTCAGTGTCCAGCTACTTGGTAGTGTCTGTCGCTGTAGATAGCCGCACACATATCCATTGGCTTCCCAGAGTCAGAAATAACACCATCGCCCTCGTCGCCACTACACAAATATAATCAGTGCTAGCATCTTAACCGTTATCAGGTTGCGAGACAAAGACGATTGGCGGAGAGCGTGCGCACAGTGACTGAGGTACCACCACTCATGGCCGTCCACAAAATAAACGCGTTGGCAAGTATCATACCATAGGAAGTGACAGTAAGAATGATCTACCTCAATCAGTCGTGTGGACAGCGTCCTTGAAGCTCTTCAAGAAACGCTTGAATGACTATCTGCGTCCCCTGTTTGCCCCTGGCAGTCTGAACCTGAGCTAGATACCCCGTGAACCCCAGTTTACCTTTAAAAATGCTACTTGTATCATGTAAGTACTATTTTATTAGTGACAATTTTTATTTGGCGTGTGCAGTTGTACCCAACGGAAAAGCATTGTCGATTATCTTTACCAAATAAACTACTAAAAAAGTCTCACCTCGAGCACCGTCTGCATGAGGCGACCCTTGAGCCAGTAGCTTACAAAGCCCAACTCCTCGCGTGACATTTCGCCGGCTGCCTCACTTTCGCCCGCCGCACTATTGGCCGCTGCCTCTTCAGCCGCTTCTTCGACACTGTCGATGAGACGGACGTGACGATGTAACAGCAGGGTAATAACGGCACACTGGCTGCGCACAGCCTCGCAACGCTCCTCCTCAAGGCGCGTCACCTTGTCAGCTACCGCGACAGAACGCCGAGAGTCACGCTCATGCCCATCGGCTGATTCGTCAGAGGACCGCGAACGGACACGTCGATGTCCACCGGTGTCCCGGTCGCGGCGCAAGGAGATTGATTTGGAGCGTCCGCCCCGGTCCTCTTCATCCTCACTCTCAGAGCTGTCCGAATCAGACTAATTGGGAGGAAGGAGAGAAGAAGGGGTTGGGTTAGGGTGCGCATGCGGTTGTTGGGGAGGGGCAGGGAAAGAGAAGTGACAGCACGAGACAAACCTTGTGACGCTGGATCTCCAGACTTTCCTTGGCGGCCTCCAACTTCGGGTTTATTTGGGCGACACGCCGGCCCACGCGGACGAGGGTGTGCAGCAGACATTCCCAAACATGCAGCCTGAAGATGTTTAAATGAACAAAATAAGTGCGTGCAAATTCCAAACAACTTTGGAAACGGTTGGGAGATGGGGGGGGGGGAGGTGATTTAAACGTTATTTAAACGCACTCCAGAATCCGAGGTTTGACGTAGAAGTCTGTGGAGGGCGAAAGCGGCCCTTTAAATGCAGTCATGTGGGGTGAAAAGGCCCATCTGACGATGGCTTCTGGATCCAACAGGCCATTGCGACACATGTAGTCCGAAATAACCACCACCATTTGCGACTGATTCACCCAGACGGCCTGGAGGATGTGTAGAGCTTCAACCTGCGATTCCACAGTGGAAGCGAGACACCGGAAAGTTTCCGAATACCTAAAAATAAATTAACCAAGATGAGCAAACAGGTAAGAATTGCTGGAGGCTTGGGTCGCTGACACCAACTCCACAAAAAAACGCGTTGACCTACTCCCACCAGTTATCGCGCATTATGCTCGAGCGCCAAACGGCGCGGCCCAGTTCCCGGTCAAGGATGCACACGGGCACCGCAGCGTGCGGCCACTGTGAGCTAGAGATCGCAAATCCAGCCTCGCCCCTTACTAGTTTTCAGACTACAAAACTGTTCAATTGTTAAGTCAATGTGGTATACACGGCTTTTCGGTAAGTCGTCATCAGGCCAAGACAGTTACATAGAAGTTGAAATTATGCGAAGTTACAGGGTTTATAAGTGATTCAGGGGTTATTAACACTCATCGTTCCCACGCCACCCACATGTCAAGGTGTGCTATGGCGTGGTCGGTGTGTCGTGGTCATTGGGTCAAGGGGGCGAGGGGGAGGGGGGGCATAGGCTGTGAGTAATGTTTGTACGTTGTGCACACACCACTGCCATCAGGAGGTTGGGGCGACGCGCAATCATCATCTGGGGTCGGTGTTGGCCACGGAAGACAGAGCGCCTGTGTCAGCGTCTTCTGACGACATAAGACTGGATTGGCTAGCAGTATAGCCACTGCCTCGGCTGTAGCTGGCACCCGTTGGCGTAGGCCTCTGGGGAAGCTTGCTGCTGTCCGGTGGACAACCTGAAAGGCTTCTTTGGCATCGACTCGGTGATTAGTATCGACAGGATGCGCGAGAGCAGAACTCGAAATCGATTTCTTTTCACCTCTGCCTAGCCAGGCCGGTATGTATTCACGTTGTACGGCCAATGTATCTCGCTCCACGGGAGCAAGTGGATGAGTAAATACACATCGATGTGGCCTGCAACGGGAGTCGGCTTTTACCTCCCAGGCGTAGGGGGGGGGGGGAGAGTTTGTGAAACATATGCGTAAATTTGCTGCGGAGAAAGCGCGTGTGATCGCTGTCTTCAGACGTCATCTTACCAGGTCACTTGCTGCGTTCTATTCTCGCACATCCTGTCGATACTAATCACCGAGTCGATGCCAAAGAAGCCTTTCAGGTTGTCCACCGGACAGCAGCAAGCTTCCCCAGAGGCCTACGCCAACGGGTGCCAGCTACAGCCGAGGCAGTGGCTATACTGCTAGCCAATCCAGTCTTATGTCGTCAGAAGACGCTGACACAGGCGCTCTGTCTTCCGTGGCCAACACCGACCCCAGATGATAATTGCGCGTCGCCCCAACCTCCTGATGGCAGTGGTGTGTGCACAACGTACAAACATTACTCACAGCCTATGCCCCCCCTCCCCCTCGCCCCCTTGACCCAATGACCACGACACACCGACCACGCCATAGCACACCTTGACATGTGGGTGGCGTGGGAACGATGAGTGTTAATAACCCCTGAATCACTTATAAACCATGTAACTTCGCATAATTTCAACTTCTATGTAACTGTCTTGGCCTGATGACGACTTACCGAAAAGCCGTGTATACCACATTGACTTAACAATTGAAACATGGGAATATTCGCTGAACTTAGACAATCCAAAGATCCCTCGATGTTCAATTGTTGTTGTGTGCTTTCGTAGTCTCTGAAGAATTGCTCCCGAACAGGCTGAAAAAGGTTAAACCAGTACAAGTACCGTTTCGATAATCATATATTCTTCCTCCTGACAAAAGGGGCCTAAGACTTACATATTCGACCACATTCGTGAAAACTAAACTCTATCTTAATTGAAGACAGGGAACTAGTCCTGAGCCCTGTACTGTAGACGCATTTGCACTTAGAAAATTCAGGGCTAGTTTTAAGCCCTAATGGGAAAGTAAAATGGCACCGATTAAATTGAAGATGAGTTCGGGAATCAGATGCCTTCTTTCGGCTAGTATAAATGCTCATTAAAAGTATTGGTAAATATGTCAGTTGGAGAAGGAGCCTGTAACTGATGGTGACATAGTACAGTGTGGACATATACGGACTGACATAGATGACAAATTATAAACGCGTCTAGGGGCTTGGCGGCAGGGAATTAGACCTACCGTTTCAACAGAGAGCAGGTATGACTGATTGTTTTGTGCGCCCGATAGAGAAGGGCAGTCATGAAGAGCTCCAGCGGGCGACTGGTCACGCCGGGCACCACGCAGAGCTGATGGGATGCGCCGCCACCAGCGCCAGTCGTGCCGCCTGCCGTTGCGTCCGTCCCGGCGGCCAGCATCGCTGTCCCGGGCGCGGCCACGAACCCAGCATCATCCAGACGTGGCGGAGAGGCGTTTCGACCCACGGACGCACCCGACCGCAGCAGGGGGTCTACTGTGACGCTGCCCGCCTCGTCCGCGGCTCCGTCAACCTCCGCGTTCTCATCCTCACGACCACTGTCTCGTGCTTCTGAGCGTCTACCGCCAGCAGGGTTGCGGCGCGACGCGATAATGTGCGGCCGGCGCTTCAATCGCTCCTTTTTCTCGTCTTTCTCCGTGTCCGAGGCACTGCTACTGCGCGAGCTGTGTCGGCTGCTGGAACGACGGCTTGAATGGGCGTCGCTGTCCTCGTCTGGATCACTTTCCTCTCCACTGCCGTCTTGGCCGTCGCGAGAAGTCAGTCGTTTGATGAGGTCAAGCAGGCTTTCCGGGCTGCGCCGGTCGCAGAAGGCCTCAAAAACCCGATTGAAAGCCTTCAGTTTTCGAGGGGCTGTTAGAATTAAAACACGGCGATTGAATGGAACTTGGTAAGGCAGTAACTTCTCCAAGCCCACGCTGGGCAGTGATCTGTTGAAGTCCGACCAAAGGACAATGGGCAAGTTAGGCAAGCCAAATGGTTGCCTCAAACGTGAGAGACACGCGCAAGACTTGAACGGAGGGAAATTAGATAGCGCTTGACGAATGTGACTCGACCACAACTCTGCGGTATAAGATCAGGTGTGACAGCCACAAGGGTCTTCGTTCTAAGTGAGTTTTGATTAAGGAAAGGCGGAAGAAAGAGACTAGGAAAACCCGAGTTTCGAACTAAATGCGATAAGTCCTGTAATACCACCGTGACTACCAACGATCAGGGGTGGTCTGTACTCTTAACCTCCCTGGGGCATCCAACTCCTTTAATCGTGGCAAACACTGAAAGTAAGCGGCAGACCGGCAAAATTACATTCCTGCCCGCATCGTCGTCCAAAACCTCTTACAACGGTTCATCAGGAATGCATCCTACCGTCCATCCTTCGCAACTACGCAAATGACCGAAGTCAGTCAACTCAGCTTTGACAGTCTCAAATTTGTCAGCCGGACGCTGCCTGACTAATTCGTCCTAAGACATAGAGCGTAGTGCCTTCCCTCTTCCGCCGGGGTTAACAGATCATCATAAACGGTAGAAACGCTAAGATATTTCGCAAACTGCAAGTACTCCCCGTGATCAAGGAGTGTCACCTAGACGAAGTGGACAAGTTTCGGATATGTAGGGATTAGGCTACTTTCAGACGAACAGCGGGGATAGTATCGTCACCAGAGTCTACGAAGAGCAATTTTTTGTGGATTTTAGAGGGGTCCATGGATCCCGGAGGAAACAGTTAGTACCGCAAAGGACAGGAAATGCTGAACTGTGCGCGCGTAGGAGACAAGGGAACACGGGAGGTCTATACAAACTTGGGACCAGACGAGAAAGCCTACCCTTGCTGCAAGAAAACTGCCAGGATATGTTGAGTCACCAATGGAGAAGAGTTAACATGCTTTGATAACACGATCCGGCCCCGATCCCATAAACCCAGTACTGATATCTTGAATCATGCCCACAGGGGGGGGGGGTTCGGTGTAACATGGAATGTGAGATTTTGCAGACGATCTGAATTCGGCCTCCGCAATAGAAAAATAGAACGACGCGATCAGACTGCAGCCGCCGGGACGGATCGCCTCGACGGACAGGCATCATGTTGAACATCCAGGCCGGATAGATCAGGCATGATCGCAGTCGCATCAAGTAAAAAAGTGCAAGTATAGTACTTACAGGCGTCGGCGTATGGGTTGACTGGAGTGGGTTCCGGGGGAAGTAGGGGATGGAAGGGTCGCGGAAGGCGCTGTTTAACATTTTCGTGGTAGGAATACCTGACATGGTAGGCACAGAGATTCCAAGGAAGAAAACAAAAGGAGAGGAAATTAGGCACAAGAGGTAGAGGATAGATACAAGATTAAACTACGCAAGCGTGCCGTATCAGTAAAGGACCTTCGACTGAAGGCATTTAAATCTGTCGAAATTCCATCACCTTTCACTGCTAGTCAATAACTGTGAGACAGTTAAAGGAATTTTCCAAGTCAAAAGAACTGTGATGGTGAAAATTCCGAAAAAGGAATTATGGAAGAAGCGTCTTGAATGGCGGGTCCCGACTGCATAATAGTGATCAGGAGACGTGAAGGCAACGGCATCACAAACAAAAGGCCGACAGTTGCTTAGCACATTCAGATGTTTAATTTGCTGTCTGGACTTGGGGGCCGTTCTGTAATAAAGTCTTCAGTCGCAGAAAGTCGGCCATCAGCATCACATCCACAGGACTCTGCCTCAGAATGAAGACTGCATCGGCTCACTCGTTCCTGTGAGGTTTGGAGTACATTGCATAAACCTCCTGGGATAGCAGCTGCAAAGCCCTTGTCTACACAAACCGCTTCACAAAGAGCCAACTTGTGGCGCCCCGATCCTCCATCAGGGGGACAAGAAAGGCGGCGCGGAGCTAGCACCTCCATCTCCGCCTTTTTTATTACGCAACCGTGGCAGAAATGGGTACAGCCGACTTGAAATAAAATCGGACGCAGCGGCTTATTAGGCAGCTCGTGTTCGTCTTATGCATTCAGGACACACGAAACACGGCAAGACCACCAACTAACTTTGAAAGACAGCGTAATAAACGCACACAACTTTGATTATACCAAATGTGACCTGTAGGGAAGATTAATCCTCATTCTCCTTTCCTTGAGGAGGCAGAGGACCAGTATAAATAACAAAACCGAACGTGGCTTTGTGGTTTTGGCTACCCCTGTGTTCATAAGGACTTCTATTCTGGCAGTGTTTGACGAAAATTATGGGAAGGGGGTGGGGGTGAATAGTGATTTTTCCTTCGCACCAATGGAAATGATAAACATCAGTCAACACCGCCTGTGCTGTTGTTAGACCATGCGTTTTCTCCTATTACGTAAATGAGCAACCCGGGCGCGACAACCTGATAGATATTTGTTTCGAGGATCTAAAATAAAGTCCTTAACTGGCAAAAGCGTGTATAAGGTAGCCTTCCTGAACTGCTGGTAAGTTAGAAGGATCACATGGGTCAATTAGCACGGTGCATTTGGGAACTACGGATTGCATTACCATAAATTCGGCAGATCGTACATCATGCCAAACAGGAGTTATGCAGTCAGTGACCGATTTCATACAGTGCTGACTGAAATCCTGAAATGCACTTTCGATTAGGAAGGAACACTAAAGTGAGCCCGTAATATTGACTATTTTGCGACGTAATCCCCTGATATCTCAGATATTTCACGGTGTTAGCTTTTGGATGCACCCCTTTCGGCCACCTTCGAAAACCATACCCGGTAAATACGGCTACTTAAGTAGTATGCATTTTCTCTATATATTCCCGATATTCTTGTAAATTTAAATGTATTCAATGGAAAAGATCCATCAAAATATCATTTCTTATACCCGTCTGGCAGTAAATCATGCCTTTTTCAGATCATATACTCAAAGAGAGTATCTTTCAGCTGTAAAGAAGTTATCGATTCCCGACTAATTTTGAAGTAGATCTGCCACTGCACTTTCGTCTGGGTTTTTAGGCTTCAAGATATACACTTTCCATGTATGGAGAAAACATAAATGCTTTTGTGCCATTAAGAAAATACCATTTGGGGCTCATGAAACATTACAATGAGGAGGAGCATTATCAAACAGCCAGATACAATGCTACTCGAATGGGCATGGGACGGTTCTAGAAATCCTATAATTATGTACTTTTCTTAAAACCCTAAGATACTCCTTCTTCGAGTAGGACATTTGAAAAGGACGTGATTTGATACCAAATGGGTACAAAAAGAAATATTTTTCTGCAACATACTTATCAATCTACAAGAGCATCGAAAATCGATATAGAAAACGTATAAGAACCGAGTAGTCATTTTTGTCGTGCGGTTTTTGGAGATGGCCAAAATGAGTGGCATTCAAAAGCCAACACCCTCAGGTGTCTGAAATATCGCGGCGCTGTGCCGTCAAACAATCACTACTACGACCCCGCTTAAGTAATCTTTCCTAATCGAAAACGTATTTTCGAATTACGGTTAACATTTTATGAGATCGCTCACTGACTGTAGGTATCAACAGCTTAGATGCAAACATGGGAGCTGCATTTGCGGTGGACGACTCTACCATCGCGGGTCAATTAACGTGGAACTGCTGATTGACAGATTTCCCAAAGAACCGAACCAGAGGCAACAGACGCCTGAAAGACAATAAATGTTGAAGATCGGCCACATACAAGCAGCACTTAACCCTTCTGGGCAATATGGAGACACGATGACCATAACTAACCGGATAAGACGCCGCAGTGTCTCAGAGATGAGCCAACGCCGAGGAGACATGAGAGGCTCGGAGAGGGCTCTGGACCAGTCCTGCCAACTCCACTGCAGTTGATAATTGGTGAGATGGAAGGAGAACCATTCTACGAATCTGGAAAAACAAAAGTGTGTAAAAATAACGCGTTTTCAGGCATACAGCGAACGACCGGAAGTCGGTAGAATCAACCCACCTTGCGGCACACACCGGCTTCATGGTGTCCAGTCGATCAAAGAGGGTCTCCGCGGCCTGAGCCAAGACAAGGGGCATAGTGTTTGAGGCCTCATTGCAGAGCTGGATGAGGAGTGAGGCATAGAAGAGCAAATTTCCATGGCGCACAGGCGGCTTTGGTAGCCGAAATATGTCCGCAAAGATGGCCTCAACAATCATGTAATCCAGGGCGACACGGGCGCGCGTCTGCAGACCGAGAAGGGCTCGCGCACTAGAAGACAAAGGCAGGCGTTATATAGACGTATGGAGCCTGGTCAGAGCTTGAATTGTTGAGCGAAATAATTGGCACACAAGACTGCTTAGTAGTTACACAAGTCCACGGAAACTATGGACAGGGCAAGCGGCTTGAATGTGAGCCAAACGGATGAGATCCTTCGATTTCGAAAGGAACGAGGGGAACTACAGACAGACGGTGAGAACAATCGTACTACAGAATGCGTCTTCTCGCATAGTTAGCCAAACTCAGGAGCTTTGTGATAAAGCGACAGGGGCTAAGATACTGTTTGAGACAAAACGCAATCACAAGTCGGGTCGGCATTCCCAATCCAGATGCCTGGTTATTAATGGTAACCATCGGGGTCACGAAAAGGAAAAATATTCAAGCAAAGAAGCTTGGCGATCGGTTGGCATACATATAATAGTAATATGAATTCCCAAAATTTCGGGCAAAAGTTTGCTGCGCAACAACTCAAATCCTGAAGTTGGAGCCTCGTAGTTCCGAAACACTATGAAATAAAGTCGAATTGGTAGTAATATTTTAAGGAAGCCGCCCTTATCGTTGCTACAAAGAAGTCATAAAAGGGCACGGCGAAATTTTAACGGCATCTGCCCCCTTCGATCTATTAAACCGGAAGGACAGGAAATGCGTGAGGACGAGGCCCGCCCATTAATCTAGTTATGATCAAGCAGGCGCGTCTACAGATGGTGGAGAGAGGAACAGTCTCCAGTGAGGTTCAGTTTTGAAATAAGGAGACTCGTAAGTTTGCCAAATAAAGAGAAGAGAGCCATGCTGTAGTAACACCTTTGGGTGCGGCTACGAACCTACCTGGCTAATCGACTACCTATAAAAAGGTCGCAAACCATGACGGTAGTGTGACATGGCAGGTGTTGCTTGCCATACCAACGAGGTTTTAGGTGGCGTCAAATACCGGATTAAAATCTTAAGATTATGTACTGCATAGGATGACCAGAGACACCATCTTTCCATTAGGCTGACCTAAACACCCCCTGTCCGAAGAGTGAAGCCGATTTTTGGACGAAAGGAGGACAATGATCCGCGCTATGGTTGAACTTTTCGAGGGACAGTAACCTGGAAAGACGCAATGTCCTACCCAACAACAGCTCCTGTCAAAAATCCGAACGGCCCTCCGAGTGATCAAAACCAAATCTAGGATACCTCGAGTTATATGAAGGCCTTCACACCCAGTAGACCAAACTCCGTCTGCGTCTCCAAACAAAAGAGATCTAAGACGAGAACGACATACAATCGTGTTGGCGGCTTAGGCTAACCCGGGCCATCTTTCCGCTCAACAAGTCGTAACCCATAGTGGAATTTAGCAGACGCCCGAGATGGCTAAGCAGCCGTAGTTAGTGGCAACATTGCCTACACCGACGAGGTGATGGAGACTAAATGAGATGTCCTAAAAATTACTAGTAAGACATGCCATCGGCAACCCGGCCACGGCATGGGGACGCAAAAAATGCGGTCGAAAAATAACAACAAACAAAAATTCTCATCTTCGTCCCTCCCCATAGGCTGTCAGAGTGACACTGCTCACACTGGTTTAGACAAACTAATGGAAAATCGTCTGGAATGGAGGACGGCTCAAGTTGTTCGCGGACTGGCCTGCTAAAAGATGGATATTGCGACTCTCAGTAAGACCCGCTTCTTTGAACAGGGTAGCCTGGAGGTGGGCGCCGGATACACCTTCTGGAGACAAATTTCAAGAGCAGAATGACGAAAAGCCGGAGTCGCCTTCACCATTGTGGACGATATCGTGAGACGACTGTCTGCCTGCCACAAGGCGTCAATGACCATCTCATGACCATGAGGCTGCCACTCCGCAGAACCAAATTCGTCACCATCGTCAGCGCCTACATCCCTCAATGACTAACTCCGATGACATGAAGACCAGGTTCTATGAGGAACTGTACGCGAAGGCGGACAAACTGGTCGTCCTTGGTGACCTCAATACTCGTGTCGGTACAGACCATGCTGCCTGAAAAGGAATGCTCGGTCGCCATAGAATTGGCAACTTCAACACCAGTAGCCTCCTCTCCTGAAAGTCTGTGTGGAACACCATCTTCTGTCGAGCAACATTTTCCGTCCTCCGATGCGGGAGAAGGTGACGTGGATGCACTCCAGCTCGAGTCACTAGCATCTGCTAAATTACGTCTTCGTTCGGAGGCGTGACCAGCGTGACGTGCATGTGACAAAGAAACCCGCACTCGCCCCACCAAGGAACAATCCACACACTCCCCGAGACAATCAGAGCAGTACAACTGCTGCTCAGTGGAAAAGTACCTTGAGCAGGCGTTATTCTGGCTGATGTTTACATGTAGGACAGTCCACATTTAATGGAAAGGCTTATCTCGCTCTTGCAGATATGGCGACATGGACACGCCATCTAGGACTTCAAGGAGATCACCGTCGTCCACATCTACAAACACAAGGGGAACTGGAAACTCTGTAGTAACCACAGAGGCATCCCCTCCCTCACATCGCAGGAAAATTCTCGGCCATGTTCTGCTCAGTCATCTGAACATGAATCTGGAGAAAGGAATTCTTCCTGAGACGCAGTGCAGATTTTGAGGACACTACAGAGCCCCAGACGTGATCTCCGCGGTCCGCCAACCTCAGGAAAAGGGCCAGAAAATGAGGACCTTCGTCGATCTGTACTGGCCTTCGACAAAACGAATGCTGATGGACTCTGGGAAACCATGCTGTCTTGAGCGATGTGCTCAAATGATAAGGTGGCATGGACACCGGGGCAATCTCTTAATCATTTTCGGTGGCCAATCGGGTGAAGTAGGGCTGCTTACTAACTCTCATCCTATTCAGTCTCACATTCTCCACCATGCTGATGAACGCCTACCATGTGGTGTGGCCGAGGATCGACATTAACCATCGAGACGATGGAAAAATGTTCAACACCCGTCACCTGGAAGCATATTTGAGGGTGTCCCACGACAGTGTTCACGAACTACTGTCCGAGGATGACTGTGTGGCAAACACAACAAAAGAAGACATGCAGCTCAGTGTGGGTGTCTTTGCCCTCGGCTACTCAAATTTCGATCTAACCATCAGAACGGAGAAGAGAGTGGTCCCGCATAAAGCGGTGCCAAATGTCAGTTACGATGAACCCGTATTAGTGTCAGTGGAAGTCACCTCCTCGCAGCAACGGAAAAGTTCGCGTACCTTCAAAATACATCAAGGTTAACGACGAAATCGTATGTCGGTGAGTTATCCGGCCGGCCATAGCACTCCGTCCTGATCCCCCCGTAACGCAGTACCCAACACAAAACCGAGGATGAAGACGGCTATTATCCTAAGGACCCTCTTGTACACCGCGACGACATGGAATGCTTGTGAAGGTAACGCAAGGGAGCTAAGCACTTTCTTCTTAAATGTAGGTGAGGCGATAGGATCCCAAATACGGAGATCCTGGAAAAACCCGACGTTCTCAGTACCCTGGTCATGCTGCTGCGCACGGGCGCCTTCGCAAGAGGATATTCTGCGGCGATGTAGCCCTGTGTTCACAGAAAAGGTGGATAAAAGCGTCGCCACAAGGACACCTTCAATATCACACTCAAGCACTCATGAAAACAACCCGGAGACCTCGGAGGACCTCGCTCAAGATCGACAGACTTGGAGCGCTGCCGTAGAGACTAGAGCAGCCATCCTCGAAGCCAACCGGATGGGCGTTGCTAACGGAAAGAGAGAGACCTACAAGACACAAGTGCTACAGACCGGTGACGCCAGCACCCAACACATGCCACAGTGTCAACAATGTCGACGGACATTCCGAGCATGGATCGGCCGTGTTGGACGTCTGAGGGTCAAACCGCCTCTCATCTTAGAACATCTCCTCTACCGCCGCTACTTGCAACACTAGTAAGGACACTCCTACCGACCAGCAAAACATTACTGCCAGTGCCCTTACCATCAACAATGTGGATCCGATACCAAACTGTCACCATTGCAACAGCACTTTCGTATCACGCATAGGTCTGGTCGGTCACTTGTGAGCCCATCGCACTAAGACTTGCGTCTCAGTGTCAGGAGTCCCAATATACACCCGCTGCATTCGTCCACACTGCTTACGGACATCTCACTATTGCATGGGCCTATTCAGCCGAATGCGGCTTGCCTACGACCGGCGTTAAAAAACCGCAAACCTTGCCCCCACCAAAGCATACATCACACATGAACCCGCCTCACAACACCCGAAACACGGATAGAATATGCACTTCTCGAGCAAGTGGGGCGTACACTTTTGACACAACCCGGTGTCTGACTAGGTCGTGTGTGGCATGCGTAGACAGCCATCCACTGTGCCCAATCCCATCACCAGATGACTAATAGGCTCGGACATCCGACTGGTGCGCGGGAGAAGAGGATGAGACCGACTCTGGGAACTGATCCTCACGGCACATCAGCGTATTCCTCGCTATCATAAATCTGAGTCGTTGTTAGGCTATCACGAGCTAAAAGTCGTGGCTTGGAAGATTACCAACAGTCTTGTGTTTGGTGACTGACTGGTGGATCGACAGTCAGGCTTAATAGCTCCTTTTTAATGTACCCTTTACGGCACTCCCATGTACGTGATATCTGAGTTACCCCCTAGTTTTTGGAATTCTGGCAATGAGTAAGGACTTGGTCGCGTGTGGAACGAGCAGGCAGGGTAAATGACTGACCGGGTCTAGACAGATAAATGGTGCAGGGGATAGTGAGGAGAGAATGAAGCAGACTCTGAGCAACTCATCCCCACGGCACGTCGGCGAATTCCTCATTACAATAAGTATCTCATGCTTTGAAATTTGGGAGGATACCGACTGACTAGATAACTCCATCCTCGTGATCAGCTTTCTATGTGTGCATGTGGGGTGAATGGCTCGAGAACTGAGAGTCAGATTCAAACGACCCCTTAATTAGTCTATATGGCACTCTCAAACGCGAGATGCGTGTCCCCTATCTGCTAAAACCCGACACATTGTGTGGAAACTATGTTGTCTGTGGTACGCGTAGACGAGCTGTTTAGCTTTTTCAGCCACTACGCTCGCGCCCACCTTCATTCGTCATGACATTGTCTTGCTTAGTTAATGAGGAAGGGAAGTACGACAGGTGCTGTGCGAGTCCGCCCCATTACAAACAAAATTCGCGTGCAAGTCACCGGTGCTGTACCCACTCTGTGGAGCACACAAAGGACGTCACACGCGACGGTCAAACTACTCCATCTAAGTGAAGATGCCAATTGTCAGAGTAAACACTTTTGCCTTAAAAAAGACGAACTCACCACAAAACCCTATTAAAGTTCATGGTTTCCAAGATTATGTGCAATTGTTCGTCAATGAGGAACCGCTCGATAGTGTGAGCTCCTGGCAAAGTGGCCCCAGAGTTCTCGGTTTTCGTGCCTGTTGTCTGGTTATCCTGCTCCATGTCTTCATCCTCAGCAGAGTACACATCGGTATAGTCAAACATCCGAAAAACAACTTGCGGTAGAGGATAGACAATTTCTGGATCATAGTCCGGTGGAGTAATCTGCGTGAAAGGCAGAGACGGGATATAAGGCAGGGGCTAAGACCCTCACGATTGGAAGGGAGTTAAGACATGAGAATACAAGCTAGACATACTTGGGAAAATTTGCAGGACTGCCCAGACTCCCTGAGAGCGGGAAACGCGTCGCTTATTTTCGACAACACATGCTCCTTCCAGCCCGCTGATCGCATTGAAGAGATCTGGGCCCAGAGACAGGAAAGATACTAAAAGATAGGACAAGAATCTTTGTTGGAGGAGCCTTTGGTGGGCGCAATAAGAAATGCGATCATAATAGTGAATTTGGTGTAAGCAGAGGTAAAACGTTGGACTTCATTTGCAAACACTAAATCAATTAAAGGACCCGATAGCGACAAACCTCAACATGGGTGCAAAAATAAGGAGATTAAAATCAACTCAGACACCAGCGCTTGATTCACGCGGCCAGTTTTCACAAAAACTAAGTGACTTGAAGACAGTGGGATAAACTTACGTCTTCCTGGGGATGTGGATCATCAGAATCCCAAACTCTTAACATTCGTACATGCAAGGTCCTTCTTTTCCTAGTGACAGAAAACAGTGGATCAGACACCGATGATTGCTAATGAGCAGGACAAATGTAAACGAACTTCAGAGGGGGAAGAACGTATATTGTGCAATTAGTCCGGAAAATTTAGTTCCGTTTTCAGGATCTATAATTTAGATATAGTGGACTACAGTATCTACAGAGATGAGCGGATATTTGGTGGGAAAACAAAATCAAAACTTGTAGAGCCACAAATCGTCTCAATAGATTTTCCGGTAGTCGTTTTAACCTGGACTCTTAAGAGAGAAAGCATACAGGCATAAGAGCTTAGTCTCGTCCGTTTTCTTCTAACAAATAAAAAAACAACCCAAGAACTCACGATAAGTAGACACTGATTGTGCTTAAGACAGCATTTAGGGCAGAAGCATCATGGTCTGCCAGTAACTGTGCACTCTGAAAGACGGACGTTATTATGAAATAAACACCATACATAGGGGAGCGCATAGAGGACGACGTAAGAGTACCAGTCAGTTCGGGCTTGAGAACTGACACAGACATCAAGCGTAACTTCTGCAAAATTTTCATAAAGGGCAAGCAACGATCCTGGGTGAACAACATTGCTGCAAACAGCGTATGACAGGAACCTAACCTGGAGGAAGGTAAAATGGGAAGGAGGAAATATACCAGATATTTGGCGTCATCAAAACGGCAACTTTTGAGAGCATCCTTCAGTTCACGGAAAAGCAATTCGACAACCTAAAAGATAGGAAGCCAATTCCGACTAACTTGTGAAACAAAACTGTGGTTTTTCAAGTTAATAAGTCCCAATAATGTTGTGTAAATTGCCGTGCGCTCCGGGATATTCTTGGCACTAACACGTAAGAAAAACCGTCAACTACCAAGAAGCAAAAATCCGAGCGTAGTGTTCGGGATTTTTCGTTAATTCATTGCAAACGAGAAGGCTTAACTCGCTGATATCTCTTTGGATTTTCTCCGTATCCTAGTGGAATCAGAAGTTTAATACGACTAACTTTGCTGCCTATCCGGTAAAGTAAAGACTCTACAGTATCCCTATCGGGGCGGCCTCTCTTCGATGAAAACGTTTCTGCAAATAAAGTTGAACAGTGTGCAAAAGTACCATCATCATCAAAGAACGCCTCGTGATAGCGCCGCCTGGACATTCTGATGTTTTTAAAAATGTCGTCTCCGCTTGAGATATTTTAAACAATCGTCAAAAGTAATTTAAAAGTGGACTAGGAATTTAGTGTGTCTTTGTTAATCTTCTTAAAGACCAACGGTCGCATAATTTGCAACACGCAAAATGTGTCCAAATTTCGCCTACATCTCAACACAGGAAGTATTTCCAGAGAATTTCTGGGTTAAAATAGGGGCAGTACAGTGAATAAAATAAAATTTGATCACTCTCATCGCTACAAGAAGAACAGAGATAATGAGAGGTTTTGGGGAAGGAAACAGCGCCGTAACCGCACGGAAAAAAGGACGGCCGAATGATCGTTGTAAGCATGTCCGCTTCCCTGCTGCCCTCCAAAGCCTCAGCATACCCCGAATCGCTCCACCGAAAATCCTCTCTCCATCTTTACTATTGCACCTCATTTGCGTCGATTGCAGATGCCACAGATGACGTTCATCGTAAAAGGTTCAGTGTCGCTTGGACTTCCGCGTAGTGCCTACTGACCGACCGATTACAAGCAGAGCTGTCGTGCGCTAACAAACAGCCTCTGAAGGAACAACCGCATCTCGTGAACCTTCAGCCGGGTGAACAGAGCAACTATAAGGGCTAAAGTGCCACAACTGCTTGTTCGCCTTTTCCACTCCATGCATTACAGTACTATTTGGTAGAAATCCTTGTTTTTATTCATGAGTACGCATGAGATCTGCGGGAATGGAGACCGCCGTGAAACGTATAACTATGCTAATATTAAGGCACCTGACTAAAATGAGCTGAGGAATTATTTGCGGACAAAACTTATTGGCAAGAGTATGAGTATGAAACTTTACACAAATACAGGAAGAAAAAATCTAAATAACTACAGTCCATCAAGGCGTCGAGTGCACGTGCATCGTAAAAGATAAAAAGATATGGTACCTACAAATATCTGCAGCAAACATACCGAATACATATTTGCAGCAATGTCATTTGGTTAGCATAAGACGATCTTCCATTGCTGGTTCTTAGCGTTTTAGAAAAAAAGAGAGCCGTGTATAGCTAGTCCAATTACTCCTAAGCAAACTTATATTTCCATGGGCAGAATGTTATTACCGACGATCGTTGAGTGTCCCCCCAACCATGTATTTTTATTTCATGAAGAAATCGTCCTTCTTGACGTAAACATCTTTTGCAAGCGCGTACATCTTCACTCCGTCCTCTGTATGTAGGGTTTGATAAGGCTTGTTCGTCTTCGTAAATCCTATTTCAAAATCCTACCACGTATCTTTTAAATTTTCACGAAATCGGAGCGTAACCTTATCTGCTGCAGGATGGGAGTTTGAACTCTCAGACGTTTAGTGACCGAAAGGTTTCAATGTGACTGATCCAGCTTACCTGTTGGACGGCGAAACGGTAAGGATGAGTTGCGTAACCTCACTGGCTTTAATTTGTATATCTACCTACTACATTTGTTTTAGTACAGAAATGTACTTGTATTTCGTTTTACTGTCGATTACACACACCGTGACTTAGTTACTTATTCGAAAAGACTTACTTTGTTTTATTGTCTGTTATGTCGGTACTCAGCATACAACGCGCGCTGTAGGGGTCGTAAGCTGCGCATTGGTTTACTTTGTCTCTGTCAGAACACAAACGTTAGGCTTCTTCGAATCTCCAACCGGTTTCTGTTACCGAACGCGTACGCCGAGACTTATTTACTCCTTCAAAAATGTCTGTGCTTAGTCCTTCGCATAAACAATAATATGACTTAAGTTTAGTCGAGTTTTCCAAGGGAAAATTTACTTACAAGTGGCCATTCAATCGCCTTTAGGTAGTAATCCTTCAGGTTTGTGTTCGGCAGGCTGTTGCACAGGATGTGCTTTCGTAATATGCGACAGGAATACTTCCTGCGCTTGCTTAAGGCCAACGCGGCCTAAGCCAGACCACAAGCGATATTGAACGTCGCCTACATGGACCGATATTACACGACCCAACGTCGGTCCTTTTCGTGGAGCTACCGTTCCAGTCTGCCACAATAGGCCTCAATCGCAGTGGTGTTCTTTCTTGTGGTCGGATCCTTAAAATGCTTGCTATGATTGACTGTTAAGTTCTTAATGCCGTTGCATTTGGTATCAAGATTGGTATTTTGCCACAGTCGGTAGCAGTTCCTTGTTCGGTAGTATTCCACCACCTTCTCTGAGTTCATAGATTCGGACATTTCTTCCGGTTTCCTCAATAAATTAAGTTGCGGTTGTTTGACTTTCCTTCGAGCTAGAGACAATGGTCTGTATTTTTGAAGAAAAGAAATATTCATTATTACCTAATTTGTTTATTAACACCCTTCCTATTTGTACGCAACGTTTACATATAAATTTGTAGATTGAAGCAATGTTTTCCCGGAATAAATGTGAATAAGGCAAAGGCAAAACAGCATGCAGAATTTACTGACGTCATAAATTTCGAGACCTCTTATTCAGCTGCACACTGTCATTGTATATTTATATGGCAAGGTAAACTGTTCAATCAGCGATCGACCTAGAGAGAAAAAACATGATGGGTAATATGAAGCATGGGTCTAGTATGCGGGTGCGCATGGCGAGGGGGGGAGAGAAGTCAAACGTAATCAAGCTACGACCTCGGTGCACAAATGAACCGACGCATGCCGCCTCTAACTTGTTTTTCCTAAGCACTACAACGGCCACTCCAGTTAGACTAGCTTAAGACATTTTGCCTATGCACGCCACATCGAACTGTATCTATGAGTTTATATGTAGTCACGGATGCAAGTACATTGGGCGCACGCAAATGCAGTTGGTAGCTCGGTCAACTGAACACATGCCGAGGTGGCTGCTTGAGGCGGTAGCCAGGATCTCAATTACAAAACACCTGGTGGACACGGGCCATACGGTGGACTCAATGATTGCATTCAAGGTTCTGTTTCGGGCAACGACCGGGCGCCTCTTGCGCTTTGCAAAGGTTGCTGCAATACGGAGGAGGAACTAGGACTCTGTAACCCGCTGGACCACGTGATAAGCCCCGCACCGCCATGGTAATGATCGATAATGGACGAAATCCCATCCCCATATACGTCCTCTCATTTCGCCCCCAACCACCCTCCCCCTCCCTGGCATGACTGAATGCTGCCCGCGCAATGCACTTTCAAGCACGCCTGAGAATTTCTCACTGTATTCCTAACTCGCATGCTTAGATGACTTCTCTTCCCCTCTCCCCTCGCCAAACTAGACCCATATTTCATGTTACCCATCAAGTTTGATCTCTCTAGGTCGATCGTCGACTGAACAGCTTACCTTGTCATATACATATTCAATGACTGTGTGCAGCTGAATAAGAGGTTTCGAAATTTATGACGTCAATATATTCTGCATGATTGGTCGTCTTTTCCTTATTCATAAAAATGTGTATATTACACTTATACATTACATTTATAAGTTGCCTTATTATACTGATACAAACAGGCGATCATACTAACCAGGATGTTCATTAGAATGCATTTTCTTAGCATTCCCGTATTACGCGCGCCTGGAGCTACTGGTTGCAACGTGGGATTACAAAACCTACCGTTGCCATCGAAATATTTCCACAATCTCCTCTTCCTCGTCTACGTAAATGTCTCTGCTGAAAACTTTGACTGCGGTGTCATCATGCCCGCAGATGCTACATACAGCTGGAAAAAATCAGCTGTGCTGACAACACGCAGAAACGACAAGAAGACGTCATCAAGCTGGCCACATGGTCAGGCAAGTGGCGTCTAATGTTAAATGCATCCAAAATTGTAGTCTGTCGCTTAGAAGCCCATCGCAGACGTTGCCCAAGAGACCGGCATAATGAAAATGGGATCTCGCTAAAAAGTTTGCACGCAAAGATCTCGGTATCTGGCCAACTTCGAAATGGCTACCCTCCGAACGCTGAAAACGCCGTCCAAAATGCAACCAGCAGCACACATAGGATTAGGTGTGCTTTCGTTACCTTCTCTTTCCAACTATTCGTACAGATCTTTGGTTCGTTCGTTGGATTCCACTTCCAATTTGGAATGCCAGCATGGATGCCTTGGATGAAGAAGGAGAGTGACCCCATCGAGCACGTGCGACGGCGCGAAACAAAACCGGTAGACTGTCTTAAATCTCTGCCATTTCCTGAAAGACTAAGAAAGCTGAATTTGTTTCCCCTATAGCATACAAAAATGAGGTGGGGCTTGCAGTGAACATTCCACAATAAACGTGGAAATGACTGTCCACTAAAACTTGAAGATTACTTCGAGTTTATGCACGTGAATTACCTGCTTAATCAGTCTCACAAGGTCGAGAACGAATTTACGTGCCTAGACCTGCGGAAAGTTTTCTTCAGTCAGCGGGAAATTAGACTATAGTTTCCACCTCCTAGAAACATGGTGACTTCTGATAATGTAGTTGTGTCCATAAGGCAGCTGGATTGCCTGAGTTTGATGACCGATGACTTGTAATATAGGTTTATCTGGTGCCAGTCATGAATTTCATCCACTGACTTGATTTCATTTTTAGTATATCACTGCGCTTTTACTGTAGTTTTCCCGTAAACTTTGCAAATGACTATATTTCGTACTGACTGTACATAATTGCATTTATAATCTCAACTGTACATGAATAGGGTAATCGAGGGTTGCATACAGACGGTTGCGTATCCTGTCAACCCAAAAATGTTGGGATCGAATATGCATCGAGGAGCCTCATTCGGTTCAGGTATCTAACCTTGACGAGAACCGTTGTGAATCCTTATATACTCTTTTCTGTGGAACAGTCCTGTTCGGCCTGCATATTCTTCTTCCCATGGGAGACAACCTTTTTCGAGCAGAAATCTGAAACGTCGCGCGAATAAAGCCTTTGTTCTTGCGATCGCTTCTTCTTCCCGACTGCCTACTGGTACTCGTCTTTTTGCTTCTATTGTCTGCTTTTCCTCCATAAAAAATAATTAAATCGCATTCATTTCGCTTTTCTCAAAAATTCTGGAGTTTATTCA